TTTCACGAATGGTTCTCCGATACGACCAAATGCATATATCTGATGATAAGTTATCAATTTGTAGATTATCAACGAAACGCCAATTAGTTCACTGTCAAGTAGACCTCTAAAACTCTTGATGTGAATAATTTTGAATTTTTTTTGGCCAAAATTCGTCAAAAAGAAAGAAGAAGAAAATAGTAGCATCAACACGCAGGATGACCATCACATATCGATCATGGCAACCACAGAAAACCGCCTTGCTTGAAGAAAAATTCGCTACTAAAATACGAAGTTATTGCCAGCACTGTCGAGAGCTTCCCAACTTTTTACATGAAGAATTACTTCTAGCTCGGATGATGTAAATTATCCGCTGGACTACGGACAATTTTGTAGATTATTCTTCAAATGTTCTTCATATCTGTTCAGTTGGTTATGCATTTTCGTCGGCCACTTCCAGTTATGATCGGCATTAATATGATCCGGCATAGCAACGTATGTCACGGAAAACCCGTAAGAAGCCAGCCAAGAAGCCGCCACAACGAAAAGAAAAGAAAAAGAAGGTGCATCTTGTCTTGAAAGGCCGATACACAGTAGATGTACTGTCAGGCTGAAACTGGAGCAGAACAACTGGTGGTGTAGTGGTAACACACTGCATCCGGAAGTGAAGGAGAGTAGTTCGATTCCTTCCCGGTCCAGAACAATTTTCGGAGAAAGGATTCCGTTCACGACAACAGTTTTCTCCCACACTTCTATGGGCTCCGGTTCTTTCGAACCACCGCTATATTTCGTCAACGACTGTAGTTCTCAAGATTTGCTCCAGCTTTCATTTAATATGTCTGCAGTGAAGAAGTATCCTAAGTTTGGAGTTCCCACCCCTTACCGCACCACGTACTGTCTGCGTTTACAGCTTGGGGATGAAACACAGGCAGCCCATTCTTTTACATACTACTCTTCACATGATGCTCCTACATGACAAACGGTTTACATACATTTTCCACTTAACAATGTTTTCCGGCCTTCACCCTTTTCGAATTATTGGTCTGCTGCCCCTGGCCGGACCGTTCTTTTTAATTTGTTTTTCCTCACCCCTCTCCCCTCTTCCCTCCCCCCCTCCCCTCCCCCTTTCCTCATTACTCCGTCCTTGATTATTCATACGATGCTGGTAGGGCCTCCGCGGCCCGTATTACCTTTTATTTCTTCTCATTTTTCTTCCCTCTAGCAATATTTTCATAGCAGCGAAGATCATCGGGTTCGACTATCGAAGCCGAGCGCCCTCGGCTCGTTTCTGTGCATTCGATACGCTACCAAACGAGGAGTAAGCAACCCCAGGCAACATTCTCTATCACAGTTCAATTAGTTTTCCTGGCTTGCCAACTTGGAAAAAATAAAAACCATAAAAACATGATCGTAAACAGTCCGTACCCGCCAAAGGCATCCAAAAATCCGATAACAAAATTGGCGACGTATTTGTCGTAGCAGTTGAGGGTAGGAGTCAAAGAACACAAAGGTTCGGCAGAATCAACAGGATCCTCATACATCAGCACAACACCCATCAATGATGATAGCTGGATGAGACAGTTCATCGACGATGTACGCATCGTTTCCTTATGACGTACACGTTTGTGTAACTGAAAATTCGTGGCATTCCATATAAAAGCGGTGAAAATTCGTCTAATAACCACTCTAAGAGCCAAGAAAAAAAATTGCTTGCAAAAACGCTAAAAGCCTATGCAAGCAAAAAAAGGTACAACTAGAATAACAGAGATATCAATTATGACATGACTTAATGGACCGAAACATTTCTTACCATTATAAAAATCTCATAAATTTCCTATTTTTCATTTCTTATCTTCCTTTCCCCTTTTTTATCCTTTTTTTCCTATTATAACTTTCTAATGTATATAAAAATATAAAATATATTTTAAAAAAATCGGACGAACAGGAATATTTCGATTCATTATGTCGCATGCATTCCTACTCATTATCGCAACTGGATCTAACTTGCATTTCCTGCCGAAAAACAAAAAAAAAAAGAAAGTTGGGGAACAAAAGCCGCGAACACAGCAACTATGAATGGTTGCCAGCTGCACTGCGATTGCAAACTAAATAATTGGCCAACGCATGGGGTTGCCCATGCAAAAGATGCGTTTTTTGCATAGCTCCCCGCAGATTTTCGTCGCTAACGGTGCTGGTTTTTCCGGCAGATGCTTCTAGCTAAAAGAATTTCAGACTGGCCACCAGGACTGCCAGGAAACATCCCTTCAAAATTCCAGTCTTCTAGCTTCTCACGTTCTCCAGTTACCAACCTACCCGCAAAAAACCTTGGCGGGCTCGTACGTGGGTATCACGCGGATAAGGGCGTCCATTTTGAGGATTTGGACCCGTATGTGCATGTAGACTAAGTTCCCAAAGTTTCAACCCTGCAGCTTTTATTAAGTGCTGAGATGAAAAATCGGTAGAGACACACACACAGACAACCCCTCGTCAATATGCGTTTTCTGCATTGCACAGCTACAAAAAACGCAAAAAAACTACAACTGATCAAAATATCGAA